TGTTTTATTTCGGAATATAGGATTGCTTTAATTCGATTGACTAATGTGATTAATTAAAATCTTAAATGTGATGTGCTGAATTCTTGTTATTTATATCCAATGCATGAGAACTCGACTTTCTATTCAAATGAAATGAAGGTGCTAATGGTTTTGAAGTCATTTTACTTATTTTTTCTCGATTAAAATGAAGCTACCGGTAGCTTTTCACCTATATGGATGAATTCGTTAATGGTTTATAACTATTTTTATTTGATTTTTTATCGCTGAAATGAAATTGTTGATGGCTTTCGACTTATGTGACGAAGCCGCTAGTCGTTTCAAAGTCATTTTATCCGTTTTTTGCTCAATTAAAATGAAGTCATCGGTGGCTTTCCACCTATGTGGACGAAGCCACCAATAGTTATCAAACCATTTTTATTTGATTTTTGATTGATGAAATAAAATCATCGATGGCTTCTCATTTAATTGACGAAGCTTTCGGTAATTTCGAAGTCATTTTAGCTTTTATTTTTCAATTGAAATAAAATTGTCGATGGTTTTTCACCTATGTGATGAACCTTCAATAGCTTTCAAATCATTTTATTTGATTTTTGTTAAATGAATTGAAGTCATTGGTGACTTCTCACTAATGTGACGAAGTCATCGATGACTTTCTAAACTTTTGATCTAAAGTTGGTAGTGGCTTCTCACTTATATGAGCAAAGTTATCGGTGACTTTCTATTCATGTCAATATAGGCCCTTAAATTTAAGAAACTCACCTACTTATTGGTATAGGTTTTTATTTGCTAAAGATTAACTAAAATTTCAATCTCCTTCACCTTTTTCTTTTGAGTATGGTTATTGGCTTGTGATCGACTCGAATCCTAAATTACTCTACTATTCCATCTTAACAAAATAAATTCACTCAAATTGGCATAGAAACATAAAATAATGAAACTAGACTTTTGTTTTTGCATGTATTTAATATAGTCTACCTCGGGTAGGACAAGATGGTTGTGATGTTATACCTTTCTCATACGTAATCGACTCCTTACCTAGATATATATGCAAGCTAATTTATTTAGGATTTTCTAGTTTTTATCGATTAGTTAGGTGGTGACTTCATTTCCCGTGCCGCTCTATGAGCCCCTATCGACAACTATGATGAAACCTTCACATCAATAGCCAAGATGACCACTATGCGAACCATACTAGTTCTTGCTGCATCTTATTCATGGAATTTACTTCAAATAGATGTTAAGAATGCGTTCTAATATGGTAATCTCAAGGAAGAAGTTTATATGAAACTTTCTTTTGGTATGCCTTCTTCTTCACCCAATAATGTTTACAAACTAAAATGCTCTTTATATGGTTTGAAATAGGCACCGAGAGTATGATTTAAAAATTTTCTATCCATTTCCTTAGTTTTTCATTTCATTGGAGTAAATATGACTTATTCTTCGTTCTATAAAAGACGACATAATTGTCCCCTTTGTTTATATGGATGACATTGATGTTATCGGTTACGATATAAAGGCCCTCTCCGAGATTCAAAAGTTATTATATTCTAATTTTCATATGAAAGACCTTGGCTAGCTCACCTATTTCTTGGGGTTAGAAGTGTATCATTTGACTTTTGGTATATTCGTGAATCGGCATAAGTATATTTAAGATTTAGTTCGGTTAGTTAGACTTACAAGCGACAAATCTATTACCACTTTAATGAGACTTAATGTGAAATATAGACATGACGAAGGTGAGCTTTTTAAGAATCCTACTTTATATTGAATGCTCGATATCTCTTATGTTCTCCACATAATCAGCAAAATCATGCAATCCTCTCGTTATCTTTACTTCCTTGTAGTTAGATGCATCATTCGATACATCCTTAGCACACCAAATCATGGCTTTTTCTTTCCTACTCGGTTCTTCACTAACCTCTATGCCTATAGTGATACCGACTAGCCGGACTACTCTTTGCTTTGCATATGCTAGTGAGAAATCCATTTCCTTGACACTAGAAAGTCTACTACTAGATGGTATATGTTTCTTGGTGATGCTCTTATCTCATAAAAATGCAAGAAGTAGAATTATGCATCTAAGTCTTCTACTAAGGTAAAGTATCGAGGTATGTTTATAGCTTGTTCTAATATCATTTGGTTGCGTGTTCTCTTAATAGAGCTTGGCTTCGTCCGGTTCGACCAATTCCTCTACATTATGACAACATTAGTGCCATCCATATTGCTACCAACCCCGTCTACTATAGATGCATAAAACACATTGAGGTTGATTGTCATTCCATCCGAGAAGCTTGATCGCCGGATTATTAATCTCCCACGTATATCTACCTCTCCACATATCGCGAATATCTTCACTAAATCCATGACTTATCAACGTCATAATTTTCTTGTTGGCTAATTGATGCATATAGATTTACCACTATCAATTTAAGGGGAGGTGTTAATGGAAATATTCAATCTTAATTGGTTATTTAAGGTCAACATATTCTATGCTAGAAATAATCAATCTTGATTAGCCATTTAAAGGGAGCAAATTCTATCCCTTATATAGCTTTTATATGATATTCATTTCTTAATTAGAAGATACTAGAAATATTGCATTCAAAATCAGCAGATTCTATACCTTGTATGGCTTTTATATTATACTTAGTCCTTAATTTAAGAGATGCTATCTTAATTAGGATATACTAGATATAAAAAAGATTTGTATGTATAAAGTAGCTTAACTAGCTTATCTATTTTTAAGGGCTTAAGATTAGCTCGTGTATATATAAATATATTCCATAAAAAGAACACATCTTTTTGCTCAAAACCTTCTAAATTTGTCAAAAAAAAGAACATTGGTGTTTGTTGAAATAGGTCATTTGATTCACATACATACACCTCAAATGATGTCTTAATCTGCTAACCACATTCAATTTAGTTCTTGTCTTTTGAAATAAATAATTTAATTCAAACTAGCAAATAGGCCTGTGCATTACTGCAGGTCCACACTCACGAATCTTTTTTTTGTATTTTATTAATCTTAATTAAAATTTAGATGAATCAAAACTAAATAAAAAATAAAAATAAAATCGATTATGTTGTAAGAAAAAGCAAAACACGTACTGGCTGAGTTAAATTTAAAACTTAGAGGAAAGTGGAATTTTCTTTTTATTTATACGCCATAAATTCAAAAATTATAAAATGTACATCAGTGACCATTTTTATAAAATTGTGATATGAATTAGGGGATAGCAGTTTTTTTTTTTTTTTGTTTTTTATTGCACATTCCAAATACATATTTATATTGACTAGTATATTCGGAATTGTGTTAAAAAATTAGCATAATTTTAAGGAAAATATATCATAAACTATATAATAAATTTGTATAAAAGAAATAAAACACTGGGATTACTTGTATAATCTAAAAAAATTCTAATCATAAATTAAAAAAAAATTAAAAAAAACTTTCTATAAAAAATAGCTGAAGACTAAAAACATTTGAAAAGAAGAAGAAATCAAACTTAGGACGTCTAGACCTATACGACGATTCGTCTGCTACGTATTTTTCAATGAAACTTTGACAGCTGGAAAATTAAGGATTACCGGCTATGGGATCGAACTTCGAACACCTCATACTCATTATAACAGTCTCTGTAAACCCGTCCCAAATTTCAAACCTGCTCTTTTCCATTTTAAATGTTTTTAAATTGAAATCAAATTTTTTAAATGAAAATATATCTCAGCATCGGTCTTCATTTTTCAACCATGGATGAGTCTTTCATGGATACCAATCAATTCAACTCATTTATGCAACTTCTTTGACATCTTTGTTTTGCCGATATAGTTGCCGAATAAGCCATTTGTATCTGCCTCTTTCTATTCAATTTTGCCTCTTTCCATGAAAATAGAATTAGGGACCAATTTTTAATACAAATAAACCTCAATGACCAATGCATGCAAATCTCAAATATAAAGGATCAAAGTGAATATATATTTATAAAAAAATTACCCTTTTTTTTTTTTTTTGAAAATGATTTCATTTCATGCTATAAACACCCAAAATGATGTCTTTTTTGTCATGATAAACAATATAATACATTGTCCAGTACTTGTGTTTAGAGCTACAATATTACTATAGTAAAATACTATACTCTTTTAGTTTATTTTGTTAATAAACACATCTTAAATAATCCCTTGAATTTTTTAATAACATTTAATTTAGTTCTTGAATGTAAAGTTCTCTTCCAATAGGTCATATAGTTCAAATGTATACAAAAAAAACTCCCCTCATCCAATCTCCAATATTTTTGTTATAAATCGGCTCTTGATTTTATGCTATATACTTTATAGATCATAAATAATCTTTTATTTTATTTTAAAATTTTCCAAGTGATAATACCCGAACATAATTCTTCGTATGTCTCAAAAGATCTTTTGTAGTAGCGTAAATGTATCTAATAATATATTGCTGAATTTTATTTGTCTATACAATGTCAATTGCTTCAGCATCATTCCAAAGTCAATTTTTACCTTCTTCTTCAGCACTCCACCGTTGACCATGAGATCTTTTCCCAGAAAAATTAAACATATCCATGAAATATATTAAATACTATATAAAATGCATATTAAATATATTTTCTTTCACATAATCAATACCGATTGAATTTAAGTTAATTATAAAATTAAAATTAATTTTATTAGCAAAACCACAGCAACGCGGGCCATTTGACTAATCTAGCTTGTTGGGTTTGCAGGTCAAAAAAAAACAAAAGCCCATTTCTAGTAATTTCTAGATTTCAGATGGGCTAAGTTTCATGCTTTATATGGGGCCTTAGAGAATAAAGAGGGCCCTTAACGATTTCTGATTTTTGTTTTTTTGTTTTTTTTGGACTTTCTATTTGCTTTCAGAATAGAACAACTAGCTTTCCCTTTTCATTTCCAACGACGATGCAGGTTCAAAAGGATTAAGGAAAAGAAAGGAGAAAAAGGGAAATTGAACTTGATGGTTCAGTCGCATGGCTTCTTCTTCTTCTTCGCATCAGACTCACATTCCTCTCCCTTCCGACCCCGGTAATTCCTTCTCTCTCGTTTTTGCCTTTTCTTTTCCTTTTTTAACCTCAATCAATCCATAAAATTATGATTGTAGATTATTATATAGTAAATTATATGTGATCGAAATGAAATTATGATTTATGCGGTTTTATATTAGGTATTTATCTTGCAGTTGACTTATAATTATTGATTAATTATTGCCAAAGTTTTAATGCAAATTATTATAAGTTACTTAGCTTCCTTTCTAAGTCGCTGGTTTTGCAATTTTGATGGTGAAATTAATTTTGTTACCATTGTGTGTTTTATTTTATGTAAAGCAGGTGGTAAACCACTAGATCGTGAGGTTCCGATCCATGTTGTCACAGAGCCTTCTCAACTTCCGGCCGATTTCCTTAACCCTTCGGCCGGGAAGCAGTTGATCATTGGTTTTGACTGTGAGGGTGTTGATCTTTGTCGTCATGGAACTCTTTGTATTATGCAGGTACTATGAATTCAGTGTTGCTGTACACAAGTAATAGTTGGTAGAAGTTTTAAATTTTGTTAATACATTTTTTTTATGGTATTTGGCAGCTTGCGTTTCCAGATGCGATCTATTTGGTTGACGCCATTAAGGGTGGAGAGTCACTTATCATATCGTGTAAGCCTGCACTCGAGTCTAGCTACATCACAAAAGTTATTCACGATTGCAAACGGGACAGCGAGGTTTCTTGTTGAATTTGTTTCATTCTATATCATATTGACATTTTATGATATGCAAAATTACCAACCTTTTATTTACGTAGTCAAGCATCAATGTTATCTTGTAGGCATTATACTTTCAATTTGGCATCAAGTTGCACAATGTTGTTGATACCCAGGTGAGTAACTATTTAGATGGAACTGGTGTCCTATTTGGGAATTTCTTTTAGCGATCTTTAATGTACCATAGTGCTTGTCCTTCAAGCATCCACAATTAAGCAGGCACTGAGTATAAGATTTGGTTTTTAATGATTTTGTTAATTTATCAAGCTATTTACATACTAGTGGCAGACTGGTCATGAGTCATGCTGAATTGACCTGGAAAAAGCATATTCTGTGCCCCATTTTCTCCTCCTATTTAACTACTTCCTCAATTTAGTAATCGCACATTTAAACTGCTTTGCATCTCTATTTACATACAGACTTTTCTTTGTTTTTTTTTTTTTTTTTTTTTTTGGGTGTCAGGAGAGGGGGTGGGGAGCATGTTATGTTGTTTGCCTTATCTAGCTCCATGTTTGCTTTTATTGCTCTTTGCTCAGCCAGATGATGCATTTTCTGTGTACAAGTTGGATGCAGACTAAGGAACTTCGGGGTTAGTCTAGAACCTCCTTGGTGAATGCTGTATGAATATGGTGCTCGTGAGAACTTGAGAGTTACACTTAAAAATGAACGAAGCTGAGTAATATGAGGATACTTATTCTGAATCTCAAGTTCCTAACCATTTGTATTTGATTTACTTTTTGACATACAACAGCTTTAGGTGTGCATCATTATCTCTATCAATAGCTTTTAGCATAAATTGATTATAATTGATACAGCTATGCCTCTATTTTGTATTTTTGAGATCAATATTTGAGCATCCACTATCATCGTGGAAATTGCATATAGAATTATCAATTTGGAGCTGTCATTTTAATGTGCATCCATATTTGTTATTTTGCATGTAGATTGCTTATTCTCTGATAGAGGAGCAAGAAGGACGGACTAGATTGCCAGATGACTATATATCTTTTGTTGGTCTCCTTGCAGATCCACGCTATTGTGGTATTTTACATGTCGTGGTATTCATTTGTATTATCTGTTTCAGGTCATATAACTTGATTTTTGTGTGAATATATTCCATATTTGCTAAAAGTTTTTGATAAAACATTTGGATGATAATGCCAATTCCTGACATCATTTACTGCCTTCTCTCATGTAGTTTAATTATGCTTGTGGGTGTGTCTTGAAATTTTAGCTACTCTCTGCCGTCCCTCTTTAACAAAAAATGAGATTGGGAGAAAGGTCTTATGAATTTTTTAGCATTCAACTGGAATCACATTGCATTGGTTGATGGGGTTAAAGTTGTTTTGGGTTGAGAAGTAGCTTCTAGACATGATTCTTAGTGTGAAGAGGCTTCTGAATTGTGTAGGGGCAATTTTTGTTGTTCCTATATTTTCCTTCTCTTTTAAGGTCTGCATCATAAGAGCATTTGGCTTCATGGTCTATGTTCTATGTTGTTTTGTTCGGGGGGAATGCTGTAGCTTTGATCGACCTTATGATTACTCATGATTAGTGCTTTCTAGGAAATTGATAAATGCTGCAACCTTACATTTACTACTCTAGTATTTCCTGCCAGTTTGCAGCACTGGTTTCTCTTCTTTAATTGAAAGTAGATTTGTGTGAGAGTAGCATTGAAGCATTCTAATTGGACTTGTTAAGTTAAACTGATATAGACATCTCTGGATTTGTGTCCTACAAAGGATTCGTGGTGAGTTATATTTGGAGAATGAATATAGAAGAAAAATGTTGTCACGATAGCTGTCACCAGTAACTGAGGTTACCTTAGTGAGAGATAAGTAGAAGAAAAAGAAGAAGAAGAAGAAGAAAATAGCACTTGAATAGAGTGAAAAGAGGAAAAGTAACACTATGCCACGCAAATACTCATAATTCCATTATTCAAGTGCTTCCCATCACATAGAATATGTTCTCAGGCTCTAAAGAGCCTTATAGTACTAAACTAAATGGAAATAGAAATTTGAATAGGAAAACAAAAACCATAAATAGTAGAAAACCCCAAATGATACTCTAGTTCCAAAATAACGAATTCCTGAATAGATTAAGTTTACAGAAAATTTAGAATTTACAAATTAAAAATAAGTTATTCAGAAACTTCTTTGTTCTTGATTACATCATAAACCTTCAGCCTACATTAAAGGTTTTCTTGGTCATTATCTCCAATAGCTACTAATATATTTCTTTTTCTTTGTTTTTTTTTTTTTTTTTTTTGAAAAAAAGAACATTTATTTTGTTCTTATTCTCATCAACTTTTCCTTTTGACTGGACATACTTTGTGGTATCTTGTTGGCAAGAAGATGGACTTCCTGTATTATTAACTGTATTTCTGAGATTTATGCCTTTGAGGATTTGAATGCAGGCATATCTTATCTGGAGAAGGAAGAGGTTCGTGTTCTCCTCCGACAGGTTAGTTTAAACATCTGACTCTCTGTCTCTCTCTCGGGGTAAAATGGAGAGACCTATATTGAAAAAAAAAAAAAAAAAAACTATTCACTTCTGCCTTGGTTTTGCACTCCTAAGATGCTATCATTTATGTTGAAAGATCACAGAAGATTGCTTCTGTTGTACATGATTTAGAGTTTGTAATGTGCTGGCATTTGGCATTTAGACAAGTGACTTCTTTACCATCTGAAACTCACCGGAGAGTTAGTCCCTTGCCATTGTAAATTTTACTGGCAAGTGAAGTGTTTCTTTTCTAATGGTTGCTTGAAAGTACAGCAGAGGCAAGGCCACAAGCTATGAGGCCATACCAGCAACCTTAAGGAGAGCATGTTTAGATTCTCCATACTTATTTCTCATCCCATGAAAATTAAAAAAGAAATACAGCTCATAAATAAGAGATAACCACTAGTTTTTGTACTTTATAAAAAAAATTTATTTGAGTTCTTACACACTTAATATTTTCTGTTTAAGTTATTTGTACATTTAAACAGTATTCTGAAAAGACCCTTTTGATCACTGATGTGCAATACTTTTCAGAATAGTATTTTCCAAACGACTGTACTTGATCGATATTTATTTAAAAGTTGAAGACATTCCAATAAAATAGAAGAACTCAATAACCAATTTGGATAAACTACAAGAACCAAGATTGCGATTCTCTCATTTTATTTTTTTGACTCTTGGTTTTTTGTGTTTATTTGTACTTGCATCTTCTCAAAGAGGTCGTGAGAAATTTGTTCAGCTACTGCACACCCACTTTGCTGCAACAGTACCATGCAGTGTCTTACAGCTAGTGTTTCCTGACATGATTGTACCTTTCCATTATTTTCAGGATCCTATGTTCTGGACATACAGGCCATTATCCGAAATGATGATCCGTGCAGCTGCAGATGATGTTCGCTTTCTTCTCTACATCTATTATAAGCTGATGGAAAAGCTGAACGAAAAATCGTTATGGTATCTTGCAGTTCGTGGAGCGTTGTATTGTCGATGTTTCTGCATTAATGAGAATAATTATGCTGATTGGCCCCATATCCCTCCTATTCCAGGTTTTATGTTTTACCAACCTATTAGTGTACATTACTTCTTGTCTCCCAATCTTCTAGGAATTGTGTTACCCAAATCTCATCTTCGTTCATCTATCATCTTGTTTTTAATGTATTTCCAATACGCTCTTTATTGAATTTTACTTGAACAAGATAGAAGTGGTGCCAAATTCTCTAAATTGGAGAGCTTTGCACTACATTGTATTGGCTATAACTATGAGGTTTCCATTGTTGGAAACAATGGGAAAGAATTAATTGAGAAAGTTTGTTATATTCCACAAGATAATGTCACTAACCATCTAAACGTTTGAAATGAGATTAAAGTTCAAGTGCAATGCATGAATGTGGGTCTAAATTTTGGAAAAGAATGGGTTATGTATCGGCAAGCTACCAGACAGTGAATGCATGTGTCCTAAAATATGGGTGTATAAGCTTACTAGCAACAAGCAGTCAAACCGAATACCTGGTTATGTTTACCATGAACCATTTTAGATGGACTTTGTGGGTGAATGCTGATCTAGATGTGCTTTCTCTTTATAGATAACCTCGTCATCGAGGACAATGGTCCTGAGGAGGAAATCCTTTCTGTCCTTGATGTTCCCCCAGGAAAGATGGGACGTGTTATTGGAAGACGAGGAGCTTCCATTTTGTCAATAAAAGAATCTTGCAAGTATGTCTCTCTTCTCTCTCACCCCTTCACATCCTTTCTGTCCCATATCATCAATTGGGTTCTTTTGTTCTTCAATATGATGCATGTGCTTTTTTTTGCAGTGCGGAAATTTTAATTGGAGGTGTGAAGGGTCCACCTGACAAGGTAAGTCTATCAAATTACTGTCAATAACTAGCTGCCAGGTGATCACGTTAGCCTTGGACAAAATCCAACTAATTTAGAATTCAAATCGATGCAAATGAAATCTGCTTTTGAAATCTCCATATTCAACCACAATAGAAAGTGTAAGAATCTTTTTGTCAATTAATACGTGTATTTTGATTATCGCAAAAAAAAAAAAAAAAAAAAAATATATATATATATATATATATATATATATATATATATATATATATATATAGCCTTATTAGAGACTTACAAAATAAAGCCATAAAAGATAATCCATGCGGTCTTTGTTCAGGATTTACTTATATTTATTCATTGTCATCCTCGTGTATAAATGTTGATTATTTTCATGTAGGTATTCATAATAGGACCGGTGAAACAGGTGAGGAAAGCAGAAGCCATGTTGAGGGGGAAAATGCTGGATATTTACTAGGGAGCTTGATTTTTCATGCTTCTTCAACTTAACCATCAGTGTAATAATGGCAAAGTTTCAGAGAATTTGCCTGCAAGACTTCTGATGCATGCCTCCCTATATGATCACAATAATGCTAATTTGCTCAGTGACCTGCTGGTTTCATACAGTCATCAGTGTCTATCTTGCATCTGTAGGCACTTGAATAATTCCAAAAACATAACTTTTGGTTGCCAATTTAAGGATGACAATTATCAAGCACTATCTTGTGAATATGCTACGGCAACCTTTGTTTTTGTAAGTTCAAACTGTTATGTTGGGTTGATTGTAAATGCAAAAGGTGAGCAATAGGATGTTAAACCCAATAATTCTCTGCATTGATTCTAATGCAGAGTTGTTTTGAGAGCGCTAAGCTGTATGCAGTCTCTGGACCCCTTTAACTATAGGTCCTTGTACGTGGTGAAGGGGCGTCAACCAGTCAGAGCGCCTAGCATTTTCATGCCCTAGTTCATTAAAAAAGTTCCATTTGGTTTGTTTGTTACGAGATGTCTGGCTATTACTAAAACGCTCTTCCCAATAGTAGAATAAAAGGTGACCAAGAGGTCACCTTCGAAGTTTAAGAACTAGCTACTAAATAATAATAATAATAATAATGACAAAGTAAAAAATAAACTTTATTAATATTTAAAAAATATATATATTTTCCGTTTCTTTTTGGCTGACAAACAAGAAAAGTTTCTTGTCCTTGATTCTTGAATCTATTATTGGACCTCATACAAATTCAGAAAAAATAGCATATAATAAACTCCAGGTTTGAATCTAGGTGGTACAGTTTTCTCTCATACATAGCCAGCGAAGAGATCTTCAAAAAATTGCATCTCTTAGTTACAAGCAACTGTGCCACCACAATGCTGGTGGACTTGACAGACAATTTTGCAATCATTGTGAAACAATCTAGTAAAATACTAATATTTCTAGTGTTGCAGAATCAGATCACCACGTTGTTTTCTTGTAATTGTGGACAAGAGAAAGCACACCAATACGCTCAGCAATTGAAACATCTTTACCAAATGGGCAAAAGAATATGCAGACATAATGGGAAACAACGACAAAATTAACAGAATTTACTTTGTAAAACTACCAAATTGGTATTGTTGCCTACCAAGGCTTGAGAAGAAATCATCTCCACCGGTTGCTTGTGACTGTGAAGACGTAAACCCAGATTTACTAAGGCCAGACCCCATGCCCATCGCTCTTCCCATATAGAATGAAGTTGGAGGTCCTTTTTCCCTTTCATCTAGTCCATCAGTAAGATCACCCACGACACCAACATCGACAAGGGACACCTTCTTGGCTGCAAGGAGAGTTCAGGTGGCAAGACAATTATGACTGGGCCTTAAAGCAAGAAGTACAACATTAATGAAGAATTGTGCACGAACACACACAGAAAAATGCCAGACAAGAATATGGAATCAAAGTTCACATCCAAAACCCTACACAAAAGTGGTAGCATGCAAACAAAGAACTAACTTTAAGTGAGAAACCAACTTTTAAGACACGATGCATTTTTCCAGATAGGTTGGAGCATTCCAGGGCATGGTTGTTTATTCCACCAACAAAATCATGCCATTGCAACAGCTTACTCTGAAGCATCATTAAAATACCACATTACCCTCTAGCCATGACTCTTGCTAGAATTCATTAGATTAGAAAATTGGAGCAGAGTATGCATATTGAAACATATGAAACTTCCAACAACAAAATCATGCCACTGGAACAGTTTACTCTGAAGCATCAGTAACGTAACCACATTACTCTCTACCCACAAACCTTGCTAGAATTTCGATAAAGAAGAAAAGTGGAAGAGTAGAGTATGCATATTAAAACATATGAAAAGCCCTCTATAAATGTATAAATGCACATGATGAAGCAAAACAAACTGATTCCATATTTGTGGTAAAAGCATCCTACAAAAACCACAAAGATAAGCACCAATAAGGAAGCACACAATCCAGTTTTCTGCTACCTCAATGTGGGCCCAAAAAAAAAGCCTGGTTATGGCAGCCGTTAGGAGCCAATGATGACAAAGATTTCCATACACAACCATAACAATCCAAAATCACATACTCCCAACTAAACTATTCCAATTTTTTTCAGAAAGGTTGGAGCATTTCAGGGCATGGTTGTTTCTTCCACCAACAAAATCATGTCATTGTAACAGTTTACTCTGAAGCATCATTAAAGTAACCACATTACTCTCAACCGACGACCCTCGCTAGAACTTCATTAGAGAAGAAAATTGGAGTAGCAGAGTATGCATATTAAAACATATGAAACTTCAACAAAATCATGCCATTGTAACAGTTTACTCTGAAGCATCATTAAAGCAACTGCATTGCTCTCTACCCACAACCCTTGCTAGAACTTCATTAGAGAAGAAAATTGGCACAGAGTATGCAAACTAAAACATATGAAAAGCCCCATATTTATGTATAAATGCACATAATGAAGCAAAACGAACTGATTCTATATTTGTGGAAAAATTCATCCTACAAAAAGCACACAGATAAGCACCAAAAGGAACCACAAGATCCAGTTTTCAGCTACCTCAATGTCGGCCCAAAAAAAGCCTAGTTCTGGCAGCCATAGAAGCCAATGATAACAAAGTTTTCCAAACAACCATAACAATCCAAAATCACATACTCCCAACTAAACTATTCTGTCCAAGATTCTATATTCAAATTGTATGCTTGCAGATTGTTAAGAAATCTTGCATGAGTAGGATGAACGGTGAGCTGAAGTTTGTTTAGATGCATAAAATAGCAATTAGAATCCACTAAAAAGGATTTTGCATAGTATTATTGTCCACAACAAGAGCAGTTTTGTTCCATTTGCAAGGTACCATTGTTTATATATTTTTAAAGTTCAAAGGAGAAGTGTGGAAATAAAAGGAACTCAGGATTCAAGCCTCTTTTAACAATTGAGCATCCTGCCCTTGTTTGTGAAAGGATGGAAGGATGGGAGAAAGGGAGGTATCTTGGATAAAATCGAAAAAAAGGTTTCATGATCTGTGAAGTTAAAATAAAAGTTTCAATGTCATTATAAAAGGTAAGGTTTCAAAGAGAAATTATAGCATGTCCATATATCCTGCCAAAAAATACAAATATCTTATAACCAGTTTTAATGATGTCTATCTGCATGATCAAACAAGATTCTTAGTGAGCCACTCTTGAGAACCTATCCTTTACTTCGTGGATGTTTTATCAAAAAATAAATAAATAAATAAATTCCACCTTAGTCTATAAATTAATGCATAAAATAAAAACAATTGAATTGAGGTATATCACATAATGCATATGTTGAACATCTCAGAAAGGAAACAATAGTAAACGAGAAAGATATGCTTACGAGCTGATATATTAAGATCAATCAGTCCACGGCTTAGTGAATCTGCCCATATTCCAGACTTCACCTGGAAACCCTCCTCCTTTTGTGGAGGATTGGAGCTTGCCAAAGACTTCCCATCCAAATTGTTCGGACTGCCATCATTAATAGGACTTTGTGTCGGTTCTGTAGAAGCTGGATTAGAATTAGAAGTGAAAGCACCAAAAAGATCAGATCCATCAAAATTGTTCATCGGAACTGCAGCAAATGGGTCGATGACATTAGTGTCTGGAGAATCACATTTGGGAGTCTTGATCTCGGTTTGCACAACTGGTTCATCACTAGTAAAGAAGTCAAATGTTGATGGAACTGCAGAAGGGTTGGCAGGTTGGGAAGCAAACAGATCAACCTTTGTCTGCAAAAAGGGTCACAACAAAATTTGTCACAGCAGAATTTGCAAGAATCCATCAAGAAAGCATTGAATTCTGAGCATATATAATCATGCACCTCCAGCAATTGCAACTGACAAAAACATGCTCCAACTTTTCAATCATAAAATAGTGGAGCACATTTGTTATCCAAGAAACTCTAGCAATGATTCCTTGAACGTTAGGAGAAAAAGCAACTTTGGTCCACCAGGACACGATCTCTACACTAAAGGTTTACTAACTACCTTCGTGAAGCTAAACAGACCAAAGAAGAATTCATTCCTACCTCCTAATTTAAGAACCAAACAGATGACACACATATTTTAAAGAGAAACAGAACAAACTAAATCAAAATTCTTCTGGCTTGACACAAAATAAAAAAAATATCAGCTTTCTCCAATTTGAAAAGGCACGCAAGAGCCAAGACACATCATTTCATTTCCAGAAATTAAGATAGCAAGGTATCTGACCTGAGTCAGTGAACTTGCTTCCTTTCCAACTTGGGGAGGAGCTGATACAAAAGCTGCATCAGCAAACAGATCAACCTCTGCTGACTTCCCATTCATGACTGATGCTTCTGTAGGAACAGATGTTGGTGCATCCATGAGATCACCAATCAAACTTTCTCCAAACAAATCAACTTGGGTAGAGGTTTGAGTAGCAAAATCTGTCAAAGAGGATAAAATAAAAAATATAAGAAAATCTACTGTCAAATATATTAGTAAACAGGAAGGGAATCTACAACTTGGTATCTTCGGTAGTAATTTCGTCGAAAGTTTTAAATCATAATAACACACAAGCACAATTCATCTCTAAACTTTTATTTAGCTGCACTCATTTCAATTTGAAATGCATATACCACTGAAAGGCACGAGCATTGAAAGTCACAAAAAGGAAACAAGGCACCACACAGGATTCTGCCGCATGTAATTTTCTTGCACATTCACAAAACCATCGTTGTCTAAGACTTAGAACACAGGGAACAGCTTCTTGGCCATCACACAACTACAAAACAAGTGCCCCTTCGAGACTATTTAATCAAACCACTGCTTCATCAAGTATTGCCACATGCTCATCTTAATTTCTTCACTCATCTTTTTCATTCAAAAATACAAGAAAAACTACAATATTCTCCTTCCATAAAAAAGCATCAAAGCTTTTTCAACCTTCATTATGTTTTATGGAACGACTTTTGGTAATTTATAGTTTATTAAAGTTACTGATTCAAGAAAGTCAATGAACACAAATTTTCTCGGTTTCGATAACCATACATCCATCTGAAGTTTGTTATTCTCCAGAAACAGATCTGAGCAAATAACATCGAAGCACAACTTCCCTCTTTGAAAAAAGTTAACAAAAACATTTTATACTTAAAACAGCTCTTGAGTGTTGCTGAGAAAAGGCACAAGATAAACAAAACAAAACTTGCATCCCTTTAGTGTTGCTGAATAGAAACAGCACAAGATAAACAAAACAAAACTTGCAAATATATGCATCCTGAGCATTATTTTTTACTAAGATAAAGCAAACAACCACACCATGCATACAATATTCAGAATACTTACTAGAACTGGAGGTTCCCCGGGGATCAAAATCATCATCATCATAATTACTTGAAACTGAGTTTTTCTTATCAGAGGCATTTAGGTTAGCAGATGTCTTTGATGCACGAGAAGACATATCATCTTGATCCTTGCTGCAAAACAAATACTTTGAAATAAACGAAGTAACAAAACATAAAAAAAATTAGAGGCAAGTCATATGTTCATGTAGCAAAGAGCTTGTAGCCCAGCGGTAGTGGTCTCTTGTAAGAGATCACAGGTTCAAATCCTAAAAGACTAGTTCTACTAGGAGCCTGGGTGTGTGTTTGGTGTGTGAGTTATAAAAAAAAAAAAAGTCATATGTTTGTGTGCCTGTGTTTGTGCATATGGCAGAGATTGTAGCGGAGTAACTTGCGGTTCAGTGTTTGTGTGTATGGCAGAGATTGTAGTGGAGTAGCTTGCTGTTCATGGAAAATGGCACTAGGAAGAAAAGAAAGTGACCAAAATACTGAAGTTGTGTTTGGCATTGTGGTCTTGGATTGCAAATTCACGTTGGAGGGCATCAAAGTGTGGCTAACCAAAGCATCAGCAATGGATGTATTGATCAATTACAACAAAAACACCATTAAAAAAATCTTGGAGCATAATGCCAAGAACACCCCAGGTAAATGCATCAGCAGTAATGTGGGCATTGTTCTCTATAAATGATAAATTCACACAAGCCATCAAGACGTATAAAAGAGATGATCAAGAAAATTGTAGCTATGCCCACGCAAGCATAAGGAAAATAAATTAAGATTTTCCAGCAGAATAATAATAAAAATGAAACCTTCCAAAGCGTGTAGAACCGGTGTTCAAGGTGCTGCCTTGATCATCACTTGTACCCCCTCGACGTGGCTTTGCGTAGGAATCCTTTTGACTCTTTTCTTTTTAAAACTATCATAGCTATCTTCATCTCTCATACCACTTACACCACCTCCATACCGATCTCTACTTTGGAAGCTGCTGCTGCTACCAAAAGAAGCTGAACTTGGCTTATAAGATATTCCACTAGATGAAAGACCGATATACCTAAAATAACATGAACAGTTTAGTACCAATAAGAAAAAAAGGAAGGAAACTCAAGTCTAGTACAAAATATTGATTCTTGAAGCATGAACTTACTTATCACGGTTAGCGGCAGCCTTATTTCTGACTTCTTGAATTTTATCCCTATTGTTCAAAAGGGCTACAATACTTTCAGCCTTCTTCCTCACATTAAGTCCCGAGTCCTTTCCATTTGGCTCAACATATTCGAAACTTGAGAGCGACTTAACCAATGCAAAACAACATGGCAACTGATATGTTAGTGAAAATTCAACCTTGGTTTTGAACATTGTAGAGACAACAATAGGCAATTTTACTTGAATATGAAAAAAGTCCTTACTGAGATCTGGAATGTATGTTCTATTATGTCATCAACGGCACGATCAGATCCATGTCCCACCAAATATTCTACAACAGTCAATGCCTGATAGCAAAATGATTCACGAATTATAGACTTTAAAGGGGCAATATCACAGAACAACGTGGGCAGTATATATGAAAATTCTTCTTTTATAATTAAAAAACTCTAAAGCAGAAAATTTTAAAAGTTTACCTTGTAAACAAGACGCCAGTCCTTCCCCGTCTCACCTAACCTCGTCCACAGAACATTCATAATCATTTGACATTCCGTGCTAGACGACATTGCAAGAAAACAAATACATAAATGAAAATCAACTCATCTTCCCTTAACAAAATAAGCCTCAGCAAACTACTTTTGTAAAGGAGCGCAAAAACAAGCCACAACTCACAATTTTTTAGTAGCCTGGGCAATCTCAGCCAATGCAGATCCATGTGGACCCCATGGCGCATCGTCAGTGGCATCCAACACCTGTATTAATAATTCACAAAAAAGTCACTTAACAGGAAAAACCTAATACAAAACAACCAAAAGCACTACGACAGAGTCCGGTAGATCCACTCATTATTAATACTGTAAAAACTTCAAGGCGTACCCTGTTAAACCAAAACAGAAATCCATTATATTTAACAGAATTTTCAAAACCTAAGTTATTACTATGGATGCAGAATGGATTAATAAAAATTTCATCGAATCAGAAACTCGAGCAGCACAAATCAAGTTAATGCTATCAAATTAGCACGGAGGCAGCATAAATCAATAATTTTTACACAAAAAGGAAAAATTATCTCTCAAATTAGCATCGCAAGAAATTCAAAACTAATACGCATCAAATTAATAACGATTTTTATCAATTTAATTGAAAAAAAATATCCAATCAATTCATTTACGAAATATTACCTTCTGTTCGATTTCAGGAACCTTCAAGACCTTGAGATTGACCTCTCTCTTTCTACAATCGAAAACAGAAAAAAAAATCAAACAAACAAGAAATCGTATTCGGATTGAATCACAATTGATAGAATTGTAAGAAAAAGTGGAAATGAGAGGACTGGAAGCTGACATTTCGCGGACAGTTTGATCGAAGACTTTCATGAAATCCATGATGGATCTGCAAATCAGTGGTGTCTGAATAGGATCTGCACGAATTGTAGGATCGTGAAATGTAGAGAATTTGTGAGTGAGAATTTAAGTGGTGAGAAGGAGAAGGGAAAAGCGATTTGTAGATCTTGGATTTGGTTGAAGAGAGGTGATGCGTAATCAGGTAAAAATGTTTTTGTGGTTTTAATAATTTTATTATTTTGAGGTTAGGGACGTAAAAGAGCGATGGAAGATTGCTGGTTATGTTTGAGGCATTGAGCAGCAATATCGCTTCTTTTTCATTTTTCTTAATTGTAAATTTTTGGTTTTACGGTATATTTACCCTTAAAGTAGTCTAATTTGATAATTTTAAAAACAAAGTATCAAATTATTTAATTTAAACTGTAAAGTATGATAGATTAAGCAAATATGATTCAAATTATCTAATTTTTATTCTTTTTAATATCATCTATCAGCTTGATGCTTATTTAATTTTTTTTTAATGGAAGTTGTAGTAATTAAGGAAGGATTTTATGACAGACGACATATCTCTTGTCCTTTTTAATTACAAATTGAATTTTAAAATGGGACTATCTCATGAATCCTAACCTTTAATCTTGTCATAAAATGGGATTTTATGACGGACGACATATCGCTTGTCTTTTTTAATTACAAATTGAATTTTAAAATGGGACTATCTCATGAATCCTAACATTTAATCTTGCAAAATCATTATCAATTACAATTAGGATATCATTAATCTTTTTCAAAGTTTCTTTGCTAGGTTGCTCATCATCTCCAATTGCCATGACAACTTGCTTTCTTCGACAATCCTTCCAAAGCACATATGAAGCTAACATTCACATTTTCCTCTCCTAACAAGCTTCTCACCTTGCCAATCATACTAGGTTGATCGACTTGTCGACGAGTATGATGCTACCTTCCAAGCTCACATCAACCTCAAAAGATCCAACTTTGGTCAAGTGGGGAATTCCATCCTTCATTCGTCCCTCAACCTTAATCTTCTCAATCTCCGATATGGCATCGGCAAAATTTGAGTCCACATTGGCAATTTGAACTCGGATAAAGTCAAGTGGACTCTTAGGTGAACCATCTAGAAGAATGTGTTCTTCAATTATTCTTAGTCCTTGTTTATTTAGCACTAAAATCAACATTAACCAAATTCACAAAAACACCGAATATGGCCCCCAATCAAACCCTTGATGATCATGGTATGGAGCACCCTAGTATCAAGGTCATCCAGAGCCTTCGTAGAAGCATAAGTCACTTTCACATTTTTCACTTCACTTCCACTTGACGCGAGCTGGACGACCAATCTCCCAAGCTTCTCGGCAAGCTTAACAAGTGGTTTCAACTTATTTCTCCAAAGAGACTATTTCATGAACTCTAATAACTCTCTTGCAATCTCTCCCCTTCTCTCCATGTCTCTCTTTCCTTTGTTTTCAATTAAGTTTTCCTATTTTCAATTAAGTTTTTACAAGAGGAATTTAAAGGGGTAAGGCTATCATCTACCTTACCCCTTTCAATTCCTCTTGACTTCCATAAAAATAAATAAATAAATTAAGTAACGATCAACTAACAGGTGATCGTTAGAAATAACGAGAGATTGGGCAATTTGGATTATATTTGCCTAATCCCTAATACTTTGGAGTTCAAATTACGTAATTTGATACTTTGAGCCTAAAATTGTCAAATTGCAATACTTTAGGGACAAAATCGACGTAAAATCATAAATTATTAGAATTATCTATTTTTATTTTAAAAAAGAGTTTTTTCTTACATGATCCGAAATTACTATGACTTTGGTAAAAGTTAGCTTTGTATTAAACTAGTTACATAATAAAAAAGTATTTTTTGTTTACCATGCATAATAAAAGTGTTTTACTTTCTTTTTTGTTTTTTTTTTTAAAAGTGTAGTGGTTGAAGCTATGATGACAATTTATTTTTAATAACTATCGTAGACTTATTTTCTATAAGAAAAAAAGATTACCTTATGTATTTATTATGTTTTATATCTTTTAAGTTTTAATAATGCTTTTATTAGTTCTATTATTGTATGTATGTAAACAACTATAATTGATTCAAATGAAATTCTTAGATAAAGAACACTAAACTATCTTGATTATCATTTTTAAATAGTATTTATTTTAAGATGGATATAATCACTATACACTATAATGAACTAGCCATCAAGTTGTTATATTATTCAAAGTGAATAATTTAAGATAAATAGTATTTAAAAAAAATAGTATACCTTTTTCTTTTTTGAAATAAGACAAGAGACTTAAAATGTAAACATAGAAACTAAAATATAGTGAAGAAATTAAATTAAGTTTTCATGGCTAAGTTACACAATTGTGTTAGAAATAAAGAGAATTGTGTCATGAAAGAAATGGTAACAATATTAGAATTGAAGACAAAGATGAAAGGAAAATGAATTCACTATAAGATAAAATAAATACAAGAGATAACAACTAATTTTTTTTTTTTTAAGATGGATATAATCACTATATATTATAATGGACCATCCATCAAGTTGTTATATTATTCAAAATGAATGATTTAAGATAAACAATAATTTTTTTTTACATAGTTACCTTTTTTTTTTTTTTTTTGAAATAAGACAAGAGACTTAAAATGTAGAGATAGAAACTAAAATATAGCAAAGAAATTAAATTAAGTTTTCAAGGCTAGGTTACACAATTATGTTAGAAATAAAGAGAATTGTGTTATGAAAGAAATGATAACAATAGTAGAATTGAAGAGAAAGATGAAAGGAAAATGAATTCACCATAAGATAAAGTGAATACAAGAGATAACAACTTCAAATAATCTTTCAATCTTTACAAAATACTTATACACAAATTAATAAACAATCAAGCTCATTTATAAGCTTCCAGATTAGGAAAAGAATTGGAAAAGATTACGAATCATTAAAAGATGCATAAATAATTGAATAAATTGAATCACCCTTTCAATTTCTCATATTAATTGGTGAATTGAATCACACGAGTAATGAAAATATAAAATGGTCATGGACATTCATTATTTCATAACTATCCCCCTCGAAGGTCCATCATACAAGGAACGTGCCTTGTTAAAACCTTACTAGGAAAAAACCTAATGGGAAAAAATCCTAATGAAGGAAAAAGAATACAATATTCATTGTACACATTAATCTCGATGTTGGGTTTCCCTTGTTGAAAACATCATTTAAGATCTTTAAGATAGTGCATCTCGATCTAATAAATTATTTTTTCAAAAGCTATGGTAGGTAATGCCTTAGCGAATAAGTATGTCGGATTGTCACTTTGATATATTTCTTTTTTAATTAAATTATGCAAGCATCATTATTTTCATATAATAATATTAAAACTTTTTTATTGGTAGATAAATTGCATATCTCTCGGATATGATTAATTGTTGATCTTAGCCAAACACATTCTTGACTTGCTTCATGAATTGGTATTTTTGCATGATTTGAAAATCCAACAACTATAGTTTGCTTAATAGAAAGTCATGATATAGTCTGTATCACAAAGTAGAAATACATAACCCATTTGTGATTGAGTTTTGTATGGATCGGATAAATAACATGCATCCGCATAATCAATTAAATTTGACTTTGATTTATTTAAATAAGATAAATACACATCAATTTTTCTTCAAAGATAATATAAGAAATGTTTAATTCCATTCCAATATCTCTCGTATTAAAGTAGAACTACGACTTGCTAATAAATTTATATAAAATGCTATATTAGTTCGAATATTATTAGTAAGATATGTCAATGCACCAGCGATATTAAAATATGGTACTTCGGGATTAAGTAGTTCTTCGTTATTTTCTCGAGGTTAAAAAAAGTCTTTTTTGGATATCAAGTGAATGAACTATCATTGGGCTAGTCAATGAATGATCTTTATATAGAATAATTATAGAACTTTTTTATATATAAATTGACTAATGAATAAAAATATCATTCTCTAAGTGCTCGAATTGTAGGTCAAGATAAATTTTTATTTTTTCAAGGTATTCACATCAAATTACATTTTTAGATAACTTATGACACTTTAAATCTCTTAAGGAGTTCCAATAATATTTAATTCATCAACATATACGATAATTATCACAAACTCTTTTATATATATATATAAAAATACATAAACAAATATGGTTACGTTTACAATCCTTTTTTACTAAATATTTATTGAAGCAATTATACCACATACACACAAGGTTAGTAATAAAGAGTAGATATTAAAGAATAAAAAAATAAATATAAAAATTATAACATAAATTGAATTTCTAAAAACTAAAATAATAAAATAAATGTTAAAATAATTTCAATAGAGATCTTTATAATTTAATTGTATTCATTTCTTGAGAATATTTATTATATGCTTTTGGCTTCTTAAGTCCTTCTAGGACTTTCATACGAATATCATTTTCAACTAAACATATAAGCTATGATCACATCCATTAAATTTATGCATATGAAGTTTTTCATATATTTTTCTAGGCTAACAAAATATAATTACATCAATTACAGGAGAATATATCTCTTTATAGCCAATGTCGAGTCCTTATGAAAACTCTTGTGTTACAAGTCTTGTTTTATATCTCATCATCTCATCTTTCTTATTTTGTTTTCATAAAAATACTCATTTGTATCTCACTAGCTTAACATCTTCACGTGTTTTGACTATGAGTTTAAAAACTAATCATTTGTAAGAGAATATGATTCCGCCTTGATTACTTTTTTCATTTAGACCAATCATATTTATATCAATATTCTTTAATAAATTTAGGCTAATGATCCTTATTTTCATTCAAAATATCAATTGTAACATTATATGAAAAAATCTTATCAATAAATAGTTTTTTTCGGTCTTATTTTCTCCTTGTATTGATATAATTTATCAAAATCTCTTGATTTTTCTCAAGCATTTGAACTTCTTTTAGAAACCTATTATTAGAAATATCTTGGATCATTTTATGAATATTTTCATCCTTTATATTTTTATTTTAATTATTTTTCCTTTTTTAGGGATTTTTGCTTTTTAGAATCGATCGGTCTTCCACGCTTCGGACGTGTTTTAGATCATTTGCTATAACATTAATAGATTATCCTTCTAAGGCATTAATTCCAATAAGAGCATTCTTAGTGGGGATATGTATTTTAGTTGCTCATTTAGGATCCGAGAATGCATCTAGTAGTTGGTTTGTAATATATTGTAAATGAGTTATCTTTTAGACTTCTAAATGAATTATCTTTTGAACTTCTAGCTTATATTATTTTATATGAGGATCAAGATAATATGAAGATAGAGTACTCTATGTAATCTTTTTTTTTAACATTTTTAAATGCTTATTTTACTTATTCTCCCCCCTAATATTGAAAAAACGGTTTCATCAAAATGACAATCGGTAAATTGAGTCGTAAAAATATCTCTTATTTATGGTTCAAGATATTAATTATCAAAGAGGATTTAAATTCAACATGTATTCTTAAATCTCCTTTAAGTGCCCATTTTAGTTCGTTGTGGAGGAGCACTATGGATATATACTACACGATCAAAAATTCTTAAATGCGAAATATCTAACTCATGACAATAAACCAATTGAAGGAGGGAGAATTTTTGATAACTTATAAGTCCGATGCGAATAAGTACTCGCTACATATAAGATTTCATATCCCTAAACAAAAACAAGGAGAATTATTTTTAAATAATGGTTTAGCTTTTAATTGGAGTATTTTGATAAATGATTTTGCTAAATTTTTCCGAGTATAAACATGAGCAACAAGTCGTTCAACCTTTATTCTAGTAGTCGATCAATAATCATTTAATGCTTGAAAAATAAATTCACCGACATTATCAAGGTAAATTGTTTTAATGACATAATCTATAAATTATGTTCAAAATCAACTTATTTGAGCTAGCAATCTCGAAAATATCGGGTTTCAAGTAGATAATAAGCATATATGTGATCATCTTATGGATGCATTTATTAAAATCATAAAATATCTAAATGATCCACCTAGTGGATAAATTAATCCACATAAATCACCTTGAATACATTTTCAAAATACTAGATATTCAATCATAATTTTACTTGGTGATGGCTTAATAATTAGTGTGCCTTAATATTATG